TATGAGTAAAACAAACTCAGTTTCTTTGGTAACTCAAACAGGGAGAATAGTTGTTGTCGGGTGTTGGTGAACACTGGTATGTCACCCAAAACATCATAGTGTGTCACCTTTGACACGTGTGTATAGGTTCGCCATCACTGCTTTAGGTTATGCATAGACTTTCCTAACCCACCAAGTATCTCATAACATGGGGTTTCCATGGTGTGTAATGAGGTGCCCCTGTCATCTGAAGGAGCTTTCTCTCATGTACATCAGAGTATATAGAATAGAATAGAATTCCTACACCATTTGGTGTAGGATTGGACTTGCTGGCCTAAATTGTCATTTTCAACACTTTGATTCTATGAGTATATTCTAATGTATCTTTTTGCTGCTCTCAGCATGTTTTTTTTTCTTGCCCTTATTATTTCATTTCTATCCATAATGAAAAAAGCAGATAATCTATCTCAAAGACTCTAACTCTAGAATTCTTCAAATGTTTCCCAAGTGCTAAAATATTAATGAAAGTTATTTTAAAAGTTGCATAGGAACATTAAAATAATATACATGAATATAATATGAATATGGACACTTTCAGACACAGCAGGTAACAGCATCTCCCCTACTTTGGCTGATCTCAGAAAAACTATTACCAAAAAATTCCAGAGCTGTAGGCTAAATTGGGCTGTTGAAAAAACAGCTTGGAAGATGCCTTTTTTTCCCTCTGATGAACTAATTACCATTTGGTTGGGGAAGACGGTATGTGTATATACTCATTGCAACAATAATTAAATGTAATAGGTTTTTGTTTTGTTTTTTGTCAGCAGGTCATCCTGTTTGTGTTTTATGTGAATGGTTATTTTCATCGTCACATTCTTTAACCTTGAATCAAACACAACTAGAATCTTATTGGTAGCATTGCTTACCTCAGAGTTTTATGTCTTCTTAGCAGAAGGAATACATTAGGGATATATTGCACAACACAGTATTTAGAATGATGCTAAGCTATATTGACATTGTACCCTTTTCCATAGATCAAGCCAGTCTTGTTGAGCAAGTGAAACGAGTCAAAGAAATTGAAGCAATTGAAAGTGACTCTTTTGTTCCACAGACATTCAGATCAAGCAAAGAAGTCAAAAAGGTAACTTTTCAATATTTTTTCTTTGCATAGGATCCTTGTGATTCCTGTGCCAGAGCTATGTATTAATGCAACTGTCACTGACATTGACTGCTTATACCAGTAATACTAGTAGTAATCCTAATCTCTGGCCATCTGAAATCAGACAATTACAGATTCCATTTATTATATGACACTGTATTTAAATATGAGAAACATACTTTGTATTTTGCAATAAGATATATTTTTCAGGCAAACGCAAGGTTTCTTCTATGTGCAGAAGAGGGGTTTTGATTTTCTTTTTCCAACTGTGATATCCCCACAGAATTTGCCCCACAAAGTTCATTGTTACCTGGAGAGCAGAAAGCTAGGTGGCAAGAGAAGCTGCCATTAGACAAAATAGTCTGGGCATTCATAAGCATCTAAGGATCCAAGCCAAGTATGAAAATCATGCAGTGTAGATGGTGATGATGATTTGGAACAATTTACAACAGCCCAACTACAAACAGCAGCACTGTTGGGCACTTCAGACATAATTAGACATTAGCTTTACAATTCCCAAGTCCTTGAATAAGGCTTGAATCATGAAGGGAAAAAAACTACAAAATATCAACTATGGGCTGTGACAGACAAATAGTGGAATAATAACAGTAAGAATAAGGGTAATATTTTAATTAATTAAAACAAGTGAGCTTTATCTGAAATAGGAGATGTGGGTTAGGTAAGCTCTCTTAGCATATTAGAACTTTTTGAGGGCTTTTCCACTGACATTAATCTATGTTAGAAATAATGTCCTTTTTGGTGTACTCTGAGCGCACTATAAAATGTCATATTGACCATGTTTTTTAAAAAAAAAGGGAAAAAGAAATTCTCGCCCTTTTCTTCACACATTATTTGGCACAGTTTTTTCAGACATCATTCAATCCCTTGCCTTCCCACATCCTTTATTGACATTTTTGTGTAAAACTCTAGGTACATATATACATGCATGAGGTACTTGTAGATATTATTTACTTTTATTTCAATTCTGGAAATCAATGGGGTGACAGATGTTGCAGCCAGATCCCCCTCACATCCACAGAACACCTTCAACTGTTAATCAATTATAAAAAAACAATATAAGCCCTTCCTTATATTGAGACAAGAAGATCAAAGCCACAGAAGAGGAATGGTAACTGGTGATTCAGCAGGTTAATTTTTTAAAAGTTCAGCAGATCTGCTACCAGTGAGAGGTATTGTCAAATGATTCATAGCAGAATTAGTTTGTCTATAAATATTGTTTTGTGAATACTTATTTAGGTCACAGAATCTGCTGATATCAAAAGTGAACCTGGAATAACAGAAGTGACAAATGTTGGTCTGGCTGTTACTGAAAAAGAAGTAAAGCCTGGAATTATTCCTACTGCTATCAAATACCAAGATGAAAACTCACTTGCCCATCCCAATGTAAGCTTGCTAATTGTGGCAGTCTTTGATTAAAATAATTTATAAAGAGTGAAGGGGATGAGGTTATCCATATGTGTGTTCTGTTTCCTTTTAAAAATATATTCAAGAGCTTCCACAAAATCCTGACTAAATTCGTAGCATGAAATACTATGAACTATTTGCTATGTCCATTGCTATGTTCAGATATAAATACGATTATTTTTCAAAGTAACTTTTTAACTTTTATTTTCAGGTTAAATAACAGCATAGTAATCTAGATAAGACACATTTAAATACTGCTTGGAAACTGCAGGTAGCCCAAAATGTGGCTGCAAGGTAGTTCCCTAAAGTAGTGATTTTAGACAATGTAATTTTAATATAATACATTGACTGTACATGTTGACTCAGTTTATAGCAGTTTAAGCCTTTAAAGTTTTAAAGAATCTAAGACCAGATTTTTCCAGATTTATCTTCCCCCATATAAACATGCTGAAAGTTGCAACTGATTATATTCTCTATCTTGCCCCTATTAAGAGCATGGGTATATAATTTTTTGGAGTAAAGGACTCACTGGTCTTTGCCACATGAACTGCACTGGCTCCCAGTAAGCTTCTGGGTCATGTGGGATGTAACAACACCCCTTCCCCCTGAGATTTGGATGGCCCTGACCCTGTTGGCCTTCTTGAAGGTCTTGAAGACCTCACTTTTTCTGTTCTGTATTGTGAGACAATTTTGCAAGGAACCTCCTTTTTTTTTTTTTTTAATTCTCTGTTGCCTTATGACTTTTGTATTGTGTTATTTTATCCACATGTTTTGTTAGCCACCCAGAATAGCTTGCTAATGATCGGCAGCCACTTACATTTGTAAAATAAATTAAAAAATCCTAAGTCATTGCCTCTACTCTGGAAAGCAGACAAGACACAAACAAAGAAGTGACTAGTTCTAAGACAAAAAACTATTATTAATCTAATTTGAATTTAATTGAAAACAGATAATATGGTTGGTTTCTGTATATTTAATATTTTTTCCATCAGTCTCATTAACAGTTGCAATTTAATAGCTATTTCAGGAGATCATCTGGAAATTATACCCATGGGTTTTCAGGTATTGAGGTTGTAGACCCCTGATTAGATGAAACATCTGTTTTACAATTGATCATTGTTCTAAACTTATGTTTATGATATCAGGATCCAGTATGCCCTTACTGCATACTGATTTCCAGTAAGACCTTTTATACTTCTCTTGGATTTAAAAGTCACTGTTCCTGGTATGACATAATATAGATACCTGTAATTCATATAGAAAGCTTTTTATTAAGGCACCTGAAGGTCACTCTAAGATTTTTGAGAATGTACCTGTCTTCCTGAATTTCCTTTCTAATTAGAGTTTGGCTTTGTAGGCTTTTTTCACTTGTCATAGCAGAGTTATTTACAAGTTTTGGAGATACATGATATGGACAGTAATTGGAAAACAGAAATGTTAAAATCTCAAATTTCTCTCAATGTATGGGTACAGAATTTGATTATTCAGTATTGCTCAATGGCATCCCATAAATATGTTCTAGTATTGATTTATGGCATTAAAAATAGGTCCCTGACTTAAGGCCTGATTCAGAAAACACCAGAAGTTGGCAGAAGTTGAAAACACGTTTGATTATTGCACTGGAATGCATCATACATTCCTTGTTAGTAATGCATTCTGGGGATAAATTTCATAGGAGATTTCAAATATTCACAAATCCTAAGGTCTTCAGGATATCTATCTATCTATCTATCTATCTATCTATCTATCTATCTATCTATCTATCTATCTATCTATCTATCTGCTGTATCTTTATTTTTTCTTTTTTTTCTTACAGTTATTTATCGATAAGGCAGAAGCAGAAGAAAGATGGTTCCAAAGGCTGATTGCTCTTCGACAAGAGAGGCTAATGGGCAGTCCTGTGGCTTGAGTGAATTAAATAGCCAACGTAATTTCATTGTTTTGTGCTGTATAAAATTTCATGATACAATTGGATGAGTATATAAATATTGCCTAAAATGAAAGTGGGGTGAGGAGAAGTATGAGAGGAAGTATACTTCTGGAATCAGCCAACAGATTTATGTCATGTTAAAGGCATTAAGTGAAAGAATAATGGCTATTCGTTTACAAAACAATTATCTGTAGTCATATTTCATGGTGTTCATGTTCTTAGTATATTCTAGTTATGGCTGAGACTCAAACTGCTCTGTAGGTTATTTCATACCTGATAGGGCACTTCAGCTTCTCCCAATGGCAGTTCCTCCCAAGTGCCTCCATTCTGGCAGTTGTATGTGAGAGACCTTAGCACCAACAGTGTATGAGGGGTAAGAAGGAAAAAGATTATCTTCCTGCCTAATAACTTTTTAAGATTGAATGCCTGAACAATAGTGAGGAAGTAGTTGTATGAAAAGTGAGATTCTGAAGATACCATTATACAAATGATGATATATAAACACTTTTTAAATTTATGTTCAGTGGGTTGTTTGCTGGATATACTTCAGGTGAAATGCAAACGGAAAAAAAGCCTTATTTGTTGTCACCAGATTTTGCAAAATCAGTATGGTATTCAGCAGAAGACATACACAAGGTTTATAAATAGTTAATTATATCCACTAAAATAAAAAAGAGGAAGTCTGATTCCTCATCAAAAGATGTTACATGATTTTAGGATACACAGTTGCTACACGGACATGGAAAAGAAAGGAATATGCTGAAAGCATTTAGTATGGCAAGTATGCTTTGAGGGGGCGGGGAAGGATGCAGACCATGCAGTTCTAATCTTCCTAGAAAATGTCTAAGCATTTGACTAGATCTTTTTATTTTCCCATATATTGGTGAACATAAAGGGCATTCATTCTCAAAGCATCATATTGCCATACTTTGTTTCATCCTTTCAAATATGTTCTTTCTTACATGAAAGATGAGTAAAAAGCTGAAGGAATAAGAGGAAAATCGGGTAATTCATCAGTCTAAGTCCTGAATCATGCGTACTCTATTCTTACATACATACATACATACATACATTGATAAGTGTACTTATAAGGAGAAAGGAAGGTTGCAGAAGAAAAGACCTGGACAAAGCTAGTAACAAACCTTTCTCCTCCCAGCCAAAGACCGTAAGGCTAAAGTCCCTGTGGCAGTTCAGGATGAGGGCAACTGGTACATGGCTTGGAAATTCTAAAACACCAGCCAGCAACAAAGCTAAGATGGCTAAGAGGTGGCTAGAATTCCAATTCCACCCCCCACCCCCACCTTACCCCTACAATCAACAGCTGAGATTGCAGACAAGCACAGGGCTGACTGTAGAAAAGTCAAGCCTGCCTGTAATGAGAAGGTGAAAATGAGAGAAAGGAGTTTATGAAATCTCATAGGAACTGTCAATAAAAATCCTTAGAAGTAGACACATTGCACATATAGAAACAGGCACATTGGTAAATAGGTGTCATAAATATTGTTTAAATAAGAGTTGGTATTTTTTGTATAATAAAATCTCCCTTGCAACAAAGGGAAGAAAAAACTTCACTCTTGGTCTGTGGTCTATACCATTCTCAACCTTGGCAGTTTTAAGATGTGTGGACCAACTCCCAGAATTCCCCAGCCAGCATATGATTTGCTCCAACAGTCTCATAGAATTTATTCTGAATAAAGAATGAATAGTGAAAATGAAACAACATTTTTTATTGAACCCTGCTTGCTACATGTTAGACTCATTTTTTTCTAACCTGGATCCCTCCCTCATATTTCAGAAAACCATTATTTTTAAATGCAGCAGTTTTGCTAAAATATAAATTCCAAAATAGTTCATGTAAATAAAACAATTAAGGCAGCAAAAATAGTTAGAGTATTTATTTCTTTATTAACTAAGGTTTACATGAATAAAATCTCCAGCTGGTGGGAGCTCCTTCTACTATGCTCTTCAGGATTTCTAGATGGAAGGTTTTAATATGTTGACTTTGCAACATAAGTGCAAATAACAAATCTATTTTTTTTCTTTTTAAAATGTATTAATCATGTTTTTTAAAAAAAAGAAAAAAGGGAGTGAGCAAGCAAGCAAAAGGAGAAAATCTAGATTTTTAAAGTACATCTTTTTATTATTTTAGTTTTTTTTTTCAGTACAGAGTATATATAAAGCAATCCAAGCATTGCTAAGCAATGAGGAGTAGGTTGTATAATGATGCAGCCTATACTTGTTATACACAAGAGTTACTTTGGCATTCAAAGTGGCTAATAATTTGATTAAATAAATAGCAGGAAATTTGTCAAGCACATAGGCATCTTTCATTATTGTTCCATCACTATGACGATGTAAATGAACTTCATAGAATCAGTCTGAAGACTTTTGAAAGAAATTACACTGCTGTCTTTTATAACAGTATTTAAAATATGTCATATGCTTACTGACCTGATACTTAGTATTGTTTTCCCTTAAAAATACTTACAGAAGAAGTAATGAATGTAGATTAGTATCAGCTTTAAGGAGCAACTGAAATGTTCCATGGCAAGAATTTGCTTCATAGATATGCAACTGTATTATTTTTTTCTGAGAACTACATCATAGGCTCCTGACCTCTGACAATATAATTTGTTGTCATGACTGCAGTATATAAGCATTATTTATTTACTGGTGCATTATTGATGATTCTCTAATTCATGTGTGATAGAAGGAAGTGACTTACAAATGGAGTAAGTCAAAAACCTGTAGAAATCAATAATGAATCTAACTGTAGTTAGTTCCATCTTATTTTCAGAAGTTGTCACATTTAAGAAAAATGAAAACAGGATAAAATTGATGCTACCCAATTGCATTAGGCTCGTAACATTTCTGTAGAAGTTCAAACCTGTGCTGAAAAGACAAAGGTTGTATCAATTTTAATACAACTATGATGGGTTCCAAAGATTAGTAAAGAAAATGTATGAAGTCTGTACTTGAGCTAATCTCTTTACCAAGTATGTAAACTGGTAAAACCTTAATTTTCAGAATTCCAATTTGCAAAATGACAGGCTTATAGCAACCATTAGCAAGAAAATTAAGAAATTGTGGAACACAGCAGGCAAAAGGTAGTGAAACCTTTGGGATTCTTCTGGTTTTCAGTCTTTTATAAATCATAAACAGATTTTGTCAAAAGCATTATGAGATTTTGTACCAGTTTTCTTAATATTATTGGAAAAAAGTAGATTTATAATAACGTTTTTTGTGGTTTATAAAACCTTTTTATGATTTTGTCCTCAGATATTGGTGAGACTGGATATAGTTTTTACATTCATACTATAGTACTCAGACACAGGTTTCAAAAACTTAGAAAATAATAATTGTACATAAATATTTGTGTAATGGTCTAGAACAAGTGTAGGTACAAAAGATGTTATCTTCTAGATGGTGTATTCCACCTCTCAATTCCAACTCCTACAGCACTCAGGGGGCTCAACCCTGATCTAGAAGCCGCATGGTTTTCCAGAAAAATGGTTTAGAGGCCAGGCATGTTTCTGTCTCTCTCCCTCTTTTTGACCTCTCTGTTACTATAAATATACTGTAGTTGATCCCCACCTCTTGTTTGATTCCTTTAATGCTTACTAAGGCAGCTGTTATACCTGTCATAATTCCTTGGCAAATCATGAGTATTTTTCTTGGGGGAAGACAGGAACTATTTTCTGTATTGCTTCAAGCCTTGAAGTGTCTTGGGCTAGCCTTATGCCCTAATTTTCCTTGATTACTTTGTACTATCTGTCTAATCACTTACTAAAATAAGGAAATACAGAAGATAAACTTTTTTAGTGATACAGGCTTCTGATACCCATCACACCTACCTACTTACCTGTCTTCTAGCATGCTCCTGACATATTTTAGTATTCCCTTCTCAATGCTAAGGAGTTTGCTTCTGGGTTGAGAATGTTGTTGTTTCTTCTTTCAGAACTCTGTGTGTGTGTGGGGGGGGTGTTAAGTACTCTTTGGAACTGTTTACTACTCACTATTTCCTTAGAAGTTTTGTTATCCTAAATTGATCTCCAAAAGTGAACGATTTTTCTTTTCCCACAAGTTTTTCTCTCAGTATCAAAAAACAGATTACTTCCTTTCTTTTGTTTTCTATATGCATTCTATCATCAACTCACAACACTTACTTAATACCATTGCAAGTGTGGCCTCATCTTTCTCTGTGCCCATTTAATAAAAAAAAACAAACTTTCAATACTGTTAGCAGACTTGTTCATCTTTAGACCACTTCACCTCAACTTTCCTCTCTGGCCATTTTCTTTCTTTCTTTCTTTCTTTCTTTCTTTCTTTCTTTCTTTCTTTCTTTCTTTCTTTCTTTCTTTCTTTCTTTTCTTTCTTTCT